TTCCAAAATCCCATGGATCCCATTATCCCATCCCATAATTCCATTATCCAATCCCATCCTATTATCCCATGGATCCCTTTCCCCCCGTGGGATTTTTCCCCCTTTCCCCGTGGGATTTTTTCCCCCTTTCCCCGTGGGATTTCTCCCCTTTCCCCGTGGGATTTTTCCCCCTTTTCCCCGTGGGATTTCTCCCCCTTTTCCCCGTGGGATTTCTCCCCCTTTTCCCCGTGGGATTTCTCCCCCTTTTGTTCCCCGTGGGATCCCCACTCACCCATCCAGGATGGATTCCCTGCAGCAGTACAGGTTGTCAAATTTCTGTTTGGTGACAGAGTCGTTGACGTTCATGGCTGGCACACAGAGCTTCCCTGCCTTGGAGAGCTGGTACAGCCTGCAAGGAGCAGGGAATTATCCACGGGGAACTCAGCCCTGAGCTCTGCCCTTTGGGCTGGGAAGGGCCCTGAGGTCATCCTGGCCCTGGGCACTGCCAGGGATCCAGGGATTCTCTGGCAATTCCAGCCAAGCCAGGAATTCCCAATTCCCAAATCTCCCTTTTCCCAATCTGAAGCCATTCCCTGTGTCCTGTCCCTCTGTCCCTTGTCCCCAGTCCCTCTCCAGCTCTCCTGGAGCCCCTTTAGTTCCTGGAATGTTCTGGAAGCTCTCCCTGGATCATTCCCATTTCCAGCATCTCCCTGCTCTCAGCTCTGGGCACAGACTCCACTCCCCATAGCAGGAAAATCACTAAAAATCGATTTAAACACCTTGTGGCTACCAAATCCTGTCCCTGCTGCAGCCCCTGGGAAGGAGAAATCTCCTCTTCCCACCCTGGGATTTCAGATCCTAAAAACATCACCAGTTCTCCTGACCCCACTGTGCAGACCTGGGGCCACTTTTCCCTGCTCCAAACATTTCATTTCCCCCTGCAAGGCCAAGGCCAGGAGCTGCTGCTCTCCTGATGGGATTCATTCCATGGAAAAGCTCCTGTGACACCTCCCAGCCCCCTGAGCTGCTCCTGCCAGGCACTCAGGGATTTCACTCACTCATCCCTGAGCTTCTCCCTCCCCCAAAAACCAGCTCAGCTCCTCCTCCCACACCTCACTTCCCAGGGATTCCCAGGGCTGTGCTCGTGGCTGCCTCCCTCTCCTCCCACAGGTGCAGATCCACACCTGGACACCTGCAGGGAGGGGCTGAGGGAAAAGCAGAGCCCAGGTGCTGCAGGGCTGACCCTGAGCTCAGCTTAGCTCAGCTCAGCTCAGTGGGGACTGGCTTTTGTCCCAAATGTCACCTGTGCACCCCGGTCACGCTCTCCTCCACGATCCCCTTGATCTTCTTGAACATGTTGGGATATTTCTTGTAGATCCAGTGGGTGAGATCTCCCCCATCATCCAGGATCTGCAATGAAAAAAACAGCCACTGAGTCACTGGGGCTGTGCAGGGAGCCAGGGAGCCACTGCTGCAATGAAAATGTTGGAGCTGAGAGAGGAGAGGAAACTTCGGGAAGGGCAGACAGGAAAAAAAAACCCCAAAAAACTCCATCCCAGAAATGTCAGAATTCCAGGGAAAAGAGATGTCCAAGAGCTTGGCCAGTCTTGTGTGTATGGAAACATCTGGAATGGCTCCCAGGGAAGCTGCTGGGTGTGTGTGTGTTTTTTTTAATTTTTTATTTTTTAAAAACCAGTTTATTTGAGATGGAAATAATTTTTCCTAGAGAAAAGCAGCCTTGGCAGGTACCTGGATTTTTCTCCAGGTCACCAACTCCTCCCTCTGCCCTTCCTTCCATCCATTGTTTCCTCCAGCACAAAATCCCTGCAGAGGCTCCTCCATGAAGGAAACCTCACAGATTCCTTCTTTTTCAGGAAAAAAAACCCCACATTTTCTGAACCATTCCTGTCCAGAAGGAGCCCTTCCCTGAAGCTCAGAATTCCCAGAATTTCCCTTCCCTGAAGGATTCCCAGAGTGGGAATGGCCATGAACTGACCCCATTCCCAATGAACAGGGAGCAATTATGGGGGAAATGAGTAATTAAATAATTCCAGAGGAGCTGTGGCTGCCCCTGGATCCCTGGAATGCCCAAGGCCAGGCTGGATGGGGCTTGGAGCAGCCTGGGATTGAAGATCCCTCCCAACCCAAACCATCCCATAATTCCCTGACTTTCAGATCCTTCTCTCACCCTGCTCCTCACCCATTTCTTATCTCTAAAACCAAGGGGTCTCCAAAATCCAGCAAAATCTCTGGGAGCAGATCCAAGATCCTCCCTCCATCATTTCCACGCTCCAGGAGCAGCTCTGGAAACAATCCCAGCACTAAGAGATCCTGGGAAAGCAAAATCTGCATTTTCTGGGACTCTGGCTTGTTCCAAAAGTGACATTTTGGGTGGGAAATGATTCCTCAAAGAGCTGCTCTCGTGTCTAGACTCAGTCTGATACCTCGGGGGTGGATTTTTTTTTGACATTCCTGGTTCTTTTTAAAGGTGGCAGCAACTGGAAGGGACAAAAATTCCCAGCTCAGATCCACGTTTCCACCTTTGATTCCTTCTCATCTCATTTAGATCAGGAGCTCCAGGGCTCAAAATCTCTGAGGAAATGTGATGAAAACAGCACATCTGACAGCTGAAAATTATTCTGCTCTCCCAATTCCAGGTGAATTTTTTTTTTTTCCCTGGAAACAAGGGCAGGATAAAAAGGGAATTGAGGTGCCTGAGGTTTGTGTGGTTTAAAGCGTGGAAATCGTGGAAAAATCTGGGCTTTCCTCCCAAAAATCACCTCAGCCAAAAGTGAGAATTTCAGGGTGAAAAAGGGTGAAAAAGGGTGAAAAACTCTTCTCCAAAAATCCTGACCTGAAGCCATTTTGTGCAGTTTCAACAGCAGCGAGCTGCTCCGAAATCAAACCAAACCCCAAAAAACTGCATTGAAACAGCTGATTTGGGAAGCAAGGAGACAAAACCTCGCCTGCTGAGACCCAGGAGGTTTTAGCTGCCCTTCCTTGCTCCTCCTCCTCCTCCTCTCCAGATGTTTTCCAGGTGTTTCCCCACTCACCATGTTGGGCTGCCAGCCCTCGACGTTGACGCAGCGGTCGATGCACCACCAGAAATCGTCCTCGGATTCGCCTTTCCAGGCAAACACAGGGAAACCTGGGCAGGGAGGGATGGGTGTTCAGGCAGGAAAATCCCCTGGGAACCAGCTGCTGGATGCTGATTTGTTAATTATTGTGTTAATTGATTTGGATGTATTGAATTAAAGCGGTGGGTCTGGGTTTTTTTCTGGGTGCGTCAGAGCTCGTGGGGCAAAGCTGTGGCTTCAGCCAGGTGGGTTCCCTGATTTTAAAGAGGTAAAATCCTTGGCCTTGCCCAGGTGAAATCCCTGGATTTATACAGGTGAAATCC